TTTTTTTCAAGAACATACATTTGTATGTATTTTATTTGACGCTGAATTTATTTTTATTTAACAATTATTCGTTTGAGACACATCCTTCGTGTAATTAAGACCAATTGTCCGCAGCCGCCTCACAGTTGCTCTGATCCGTGACAACCAATTCACTCAACGAAACTCCGTTCTGTGTCAAAACATCCTTACCTATTGTAATAAACTCCTCCGAAGGACTTCGTTCACGGGTTAGGATCCAAGCGAATGCTGCGTGGAGAAATGAAAAACCAAATTTTTAATTTAACCAAAAAAAAAAAGTAACATAAGTCCTAATCGTTCGCAATTCCACTCACTTTTATGCGAACTGTCGTCGGCAGGTCGGCAGTAGTAAACGACACTGTAGTTAACGTAATCGGTAGACAAAATCCAGTAGTTTGTAGTTACGTTGTAGTCAGAAGAAACGGGGAATATAACCTTCAATTTGGCATTCTCAACTTCGACGGCGTAACCAACAGTTTCGGAGTATTCGTTGTTGCTGTGGTGTAACAAACAAATGTTGCGGTTTAAAAATTTATTCAAAGTTGGAACTGATTTCACTTACGTCACATTAATCATACTATTCACAACACCAATTTCACCATTGTCCTTTAGCGTATATTCGCCTTTTACACACTTGCCATCGGCTTCGAAGTAAACAGGATACTTAGTATACTCATACCAAACGCCTAGATACTGTTTCGCAACAAAAAAAATAACGATTTATTGTTTTTTTTAATACTGTACTTCTTTGTATTACTTACCGCAGATACATTGAAATTGCTCTGCACAGTCACGTCGGATGGACAATCGCCACTGGATTCCACTTGTGCGTGAGTGAGACCAATAAGGGCCAGGGCGATGATTGCAAGGACCGATCTAAATTTTCGCAAAGTTAAAAGTTTAAACTTTCTAACCGTTCTGATGTTTTTTTTTTTAGAATTTTTTGTATCCACTTACTTGTGCATAGTGAGTTGCTTGGTGTTTCGCTTGTCGTTTGAAACTAATGGTTTGCTTGCGGTGACACTACACTATTTATAGTTATGAACTGAATTGATTTACAAAGCAACCGCTGCTCGTGCCTACGTTTGGTAAGTGCGGTGCGTTATCGTAGGCGAAGTAATAGAAAAAACTATATTTACATATGTATAATTAAATAGTAATGGTTTAAAAGTTATGGCTCCTTCTTGGTGCATATTGATATAAAAGTACAGCCTCGGCCCTTAGAAGGAAGAACACACCTACTTTATCCTGAAACCAGATTTTAAATATCTAACGGAATTGATCTTTCCTAAACAAGGTTTTAACTAAATAAAGATTGAACAGAGTTATCCATAAGCAAAAAAAAACACAGAAGCGGGAAGAACGAGACTATAAAGTCATTTGGACGAAAACGGTTTTGTATGTTTGTACTAGAGATGCGCATGGGCCTAAATTTTCAGGCCCGGTCCGGCACGAGGGCAAAATTAACTTTCAAAAACACACACGAGCGCGCACGTTAAGAATTTTAGTGAGGCCCGGCCCGGCCCGGCACGGCACGACGGGACACGTCCCAGCCCGGAGATAAAGAGCCAACTTTTATTTTTAATTTTATGTTTATATATGTATGTATATTTACTTAAGCGAATCAATTTTTTACATCAAAGATTTTTATCATATATTTTCTGGGTAGTAGAAAAAGTATAAGGAATTTTATGTACAGATATGTAAACAAAACTACTAAGTATCTTATTTTTTCTATCGGTTTCCAAGTAATATTTCTTTTTTTGCTTTTCTCTTATCAAAAGAGTTTTAAATATGCACTATTTTTTTTTGTATAAAAACAAAAGCTTATCTAAATTTGTAGTATTAGCGACGGGCTTTTTCGTGCTTAAATATTCGTGCTTTTATGAAATTTTACTAAACGCCCATGCACGCACGAGTTCGTGCTGGCAGCAAATATGCCGGCCGGTACCCGCGGGCTTACGGCAAGGGCCCGCCGGGGCCGTGCCCATCTCTAGTTTTTACATATCTTCTACACTTATTATTTAATTCAGGTAAGTAGGATCTTCTCGTAAAAGACCATGCTTTGACGTGCAACGGTTGTTTGCAATAGCCAAAATAAATCGAGTTAGATATAGACAAATGTGTACATAAATGATCAGAATGAAAAAATAAATCGATTAAGTCCGTCCGTCCGTTCGTTCGTCTGTGCACACGATAACTCGAGTAAAAACTAAGATATCCTAACGAAACTTGGTATGTGTGACTCCTTTCAGCGTAGGACGGTTGGTATCGGAAATGGGCAAAATCGGACAAAATAACCACGCCTACCTCCCATATAACGGTAATTTAGAGAAATACAAAGTCTTCGATAAATCAGTACATACTGAAGCAAATTTATTCAAAATTGGTGTTTGCATTAATTCTTTAGCAAAAAAATAAGTTTCTGATACAATTTTTGGAAATTGGGCGTGGCATCGCCCACTTATGACCA